GAATATGATAATAGGTGTTAATCAAAATTGTTCTAATCGATTAAAAACGTCCTTAGGATAATTATTGAAGATGAAAGGATGAAAAAAATTAATTTTGATCATTTTTGGACTATTTCAAAAATAACGGGAAATAGAAAAAGCTTAATGGTGCGTGTCAAAATTGTTTTAATTAATTGGAAACACCTCCAGTATACTTGGAAACGTAAAGACAAATTAAAAACAGTAAAGGGGATGGTTATACTTGAAAATCGAAGCTTGCTATAAGAAAACTTTTATAACAAAAATTGTTGCAAATTTTATTGTTAACAATATTGCTCTCTTGCACTTTTACTATTAGATGCGTCAATATCGAGATAGATACGAAAATATGAAAATTTTATGAATTTGTTGCTGTTTCAAGTTATTAAAGGTAACACTTGGGAATCGGAGCGTGCTATAAGAAAACTTTTATAACAAAAATTGTTGGAAATTGTATTGTTAACAATATTGCTCTCTTGCACTTTTGCTCTTAGATGCGTCAATATCGAGATAGATACAAAAAAATGAAAATTTTATGAATTTGTTGCCTTATCAAGTTATTGAAGGTAACACTTCGGAATCGCAGCATGTTATAAGGAAACTTTTATAACAAAAGTTGTTGCAAATTTTATTATTAACAATATTGCTCTCTTGCACTTTTGCTCTTAGATGCGTCAATATCGAGATAGTTACGAAAATATGGAAATTTTATGAATTTGTTGCTCTATCAAGTTATTAAAGGTAACACTTGGGAATCGGACCATGCTATAGGAAATCTTTTATAACAAAAATTGTTACAAATTTTATTGTTAACAATATTGCTCTCTTGCACTTTTGCTTGTAGATACGTCAATATCGAGATAGATACGAAAATTTGATGAATTTGTTGCTCTATCAAGTTATTAAAGGTAACACTTGGGAATCGGAGCATGTTATAAGAAAACTTTTATGACAAAAATTGTTGCAAATTTTATTGTTAACAATATTGCTCTCTTGCACTTTTGCTCTTAGATACGTCAATATCGAGATAGATACGAAAATATGGAAATTTTATGAATTTGTTGCTCTTTCAAGTTATTAAAGGTAACACTTGGGAATTGGAGCATGTTATAGGAAATCTTTTATAACAAAAATTGTTGCAAATTTTATTGTTAACAATATTGCTCTCTTGCACTTTTACTATTAGATGCGTCAATATCGAGATAGATACGAAAATCTGATGAATTTGTTGCTCTATGAAGTTATTAAAGGTAACACTTTGGAATCGAAGCATGCTATAAGAAAACTTTTATAACGAAAATTGTTGCAAATAATTTTATTGTTAACAATATTACTCTCTTACACTTTTGCTCTTTAATACGTTAATATCGTAATAGATACGAAAATATGAAAATTTGATGAATTTGTTGCTTTTTCAAGTTATTAAAGGTAACACTTGGGAATCGAAGTATGTTATAGGAAATCTTTTATAACAAAAATTGTTGCAAATTTTATTGTTAACAATATTGCTCTCTTGCACTTTTGCTCTTAAATACGTCAATATGGAGATAGATACGAAAATATGAAAATTTTGTGAATTTTTTGCTCTTCCAAGTTATTAAAGGTAACACTTGGGAATCGGAGTTTGCTATAAGAAAATTTTTGTAACAAAAATTGTTGCAAATTTTATTGTTAACAATATTGCTCTCTTACACTTTTGCTCTTAGATGCGTCAATATCGAGGTAGATACGAAAATATGAAAATTTGGTGAATTTGTGGTTCTTTCAAATGATTAAAGGTAAAATTTGGGAATCGGAGTATATTATAGGAAATCTTTTATAACAAGAATTGTTGCAAATTTTATTGTTAACAATATTGCTCTCTTGCACTTTTACTATTAGATGCGTCAATATCGAGATAGATACGAAAATATAAAAATTTTATGAATTTGTTACTCTTTCAAGTAATTAAAGGTAACACTTGAAAATCGGAGCATGCTATAAGAAATCTTTTATAACAAAAATTGTTGCAAATTTTATTGTTAACAATATTGCTCTCTTGCACTTTTACTCTTANAATGGTGCGTGTCAAAATTGTTTTAATTAATTGGAAACACCTCCAGTATACTTGGAAACGTAAAGACAAATTAAAAACAGTAAAGGGGATGGTTATACTTGAAAATCGAAGCTTGCTATAAGAAAACTTTTATAACAAAAATTGTTGCAAATTTTATTGTTAACAATATTGCTCTCTTGCACTTTTATTATTAGATGCGTCAATATCGAGATATATATGAAAATTTGATGAATTTGTTGCTTTTTCAAGTTATTAAAGGTAACACCTGGGAATCGAAGCATGCTATAGAAAATCTTTTATAACAAAAATTATTGCAAATGTTATTGTTAACAATAGTGCCCTCTTGCACTTTTGCTATTAGATGCGTCAATATCGTAATAGATACGAAAATATGAAAATTTGAAGAATTTGTTGCTTTTTCTAGTTATTAAAGGTAACACTTGGGAATCGGAGCATGCTATAAGAAAACTTTTAGAACAATAGTTGTAGCAAATTTTATTGTTAACAATATTGCTCTCTTGCACTTTTGTTCTTAAATACGTCAATATCGAGATAGATACGAAAATTTGATGAATTTGTTGCTCTATCAAGTTATTAAAGGTAACACTTGGAAATCGGAGCATGCTATAAGAAAACTTTTATAACAAAAATTGTTGCAAATTTTATTGCTAACAATATTGCTCTCTTGCACTTTTGCTCTTAGATGCGTCAATATCGAGGTAGATACGAAAACATGAAAATTTGGTGAATTTGTTGCTTTTTCAAGTTATTAAAGGTAACACCTGGGAATCGAAGTATGTTATAGGAAATCTTTTATAACAAAAATTGTTGCAAATTTTATTGTTAACAATATTGCTCTGTTGCACTTTTGCTCTTAGATACGTCAATATCGAGATAGACACGAAAATATGAAAATTTTATGAATCTGTTGCTTTTTCAAGTTATTAACGGTAACACTTGGGAATTGGAATATGCTATAAGAAAACTTTTAGAACAATAGTTGTAGCAAATTTTATTGTTAACAATATTGCTCTGTTGCACTTTTACTATTAGATGCGTCAATATCGAGATAGATACGAAAATATTAAAATTTAATGAATTTGTTGCTTTTTCAAGTTATTAAAGGTAACACTTGGGAATCGAAGCATGCTATAAGAAAACTTTTAGAACAATAGTTGTAGCAAATTTTATTGTTAACAATATTGCTCTTTTGCACTTTTGCTATTAGATGCGTCAATATCGAGATAGATACGAAAATTTGATGAATTTGTTGCTCTATCAAGTTATTAAAGGTAACACTTGGGAATCGGAGTATGTTATAGGAAATCTTTTATAACAAAAATTGTTGCAAATTTTATTGTTAACAATATTGCTCTCTTGCACTTTTGCTATTAGATGCATCAATATCGAGATAGATACGAAAATTTGATAAATTTGTTGCTTTATCAAGTTATTAAAGGTAATACTTGAGAATCGGAGCTTGCTATAAGAAAACTTTTATAACAAAAATTGTTGCAAATTTTATTGTTAACAATATTGTTCTGTTGCACTTTTGTTCTTAAATACGTCAATATCGAGATAGATACGAAAATTTGATGAATTTGTTGCTCTATCATGTTATTAAAGGTAACACTTGGGAATCGGAGCATGCTATAAGAAAACTTTTATAACAAAGATTGTTGCAAATGTTGTTGTTAACAATATTGCTCTCTTGCACTTTTGCTCTTAGATGCGTCAATATCGAGATAGATACGAAAATTTGATGAATTTGTTGCTCTATCAAGTTATTAAAGGTAACACTTAGGAATCGGAGTATCTTATAGGAAATCTTTTATAACAAAAATTGTTGCAAATTTTATTGTTAACCATATTGTTCTCTTGCAGTTTTGCTATTAAATACGTCAATATGGAGATAGATATGAAAATTTGATGAATTTGTTGCTCTATCAAGTTATTAAAGGTAACACTTGGGAATCGGAGCATGCTATAAGAAAACTTTTATAACAAAAATTGTTGGAAATTTTATTGTTAACAATATTGCTCTCTTGCACTTTTGCTCTTAGATACATCAATATCGAGATAGGTACGACAATATGAAAATTTTATGAATTTGTTGCCCTTTCAAGTTATTATAGGTAAACACTTGGGAATCGGAGCATGCTATAAGAGAACTTAGATAACCAAAATTGTAGCAAATTTTATTGTTAACAATATTGCTCTCTTGCATTTTTACTCTTAGATACGTCAATATCGAAATAGATAAGAAAATATGAAAATTTGATGAATTTGTTACACTTTCAAGTTATTATAGGTAACACCTGGGAATCGGAGCTTGCTATAAAAAACTTTTGTAACAAAAATTGTTGCAAATTTTATTGTTAACAATATTACCCTTTTGCATGTTTGCTATTAGATGCGTCAATATCGAGATAGATATGAAAATTTGATGAATTTGTTGCTCTATCAAGTTACTAAAGGTAACACTTGGGAATCGGAGTATGCTATAAGAAAACTTTTATAATAAAAATTGTTGCAAATTTTATTGTTAACAATATTGCTCTCTTGCTCTTTCACTCTTAGATGAGTCAATATCGAGATAGATATGAAAATTTGCTGAATTTGTTGCTCTATCAAGTTATTAAAGGTAACACTTGGGAATCGGAGCATGCTATAAGAAAACTTTTATAACAAAAATTGTTGCAAATTTTATTGCTAACAATATTGCTCTCTTACACTTTTGCTCTTAGATGCGTCAATATCTATTTTGAACCGTTTTCAAATTAGGCAGGTGGTTTACTTATGACGCGTACTGTATATACCAACGATGTGGCAACGTTGTTCGAGCAACAATGCCATATCGTTGGTACAAACTTTTATACAATAAAAGTGAGGTTTTCCCATTTTTGTCGCAATTGTAATCAATTCTAAAATCGGTAGATTAAGTGCAACGCTGTCATCATTCTTCTGTTTCTTACTACTAGATGGCGTAACCATATATGACATCGCTCTTGTTTCTTGGATTGCTGCAATTTTTGTGTTATTTAGTATTAAGTTTTTCTGCATGGGGGTTGCATACTCGTACAAAAATCGATTTTTTTTTTTAGGTTATCTCAAATTGGTGTTATCGAAAAAATTTTCGTATAAAATTCGTTTAGAATCGTATTACAATACTTTATGTTAAAAAAAAATTAAAATGTATTCCCCACTAATCAGTATGGTACTATATCTTAAAATGTATTTAACTTTTTTGTCGATTTCTGAAATTATTAGCGGTTTAAAGGAGAATATCGCTCGAACGTAACCGCAACCGACGACCACGTGGCTATTTACATCCGCACCATTCACACACGCACACACAAATACCCCCAAATCCGATTAACGTACGGTTACATAAATCCCGGCGTAACGATTTAATTTCACCCTGACAAAACCGGAATTACAATTAACAAGAATGAAATAAAAATTACAAAAATTTAAAATCTTTCGCCCCCTTTTATGTTACTTCAGCACCCAAATTTCCGGCAAACCACAAAAATCAATTTGCAGCGTCGATTCTTCTCCATTTCCGGATGTGAAAACGCGTTGACGCGCGACGAAAATCGCCAGAGGGCGTGCAATTAAACAATGGCCGACATAGCATGTACATTAATTCCAAAAACGACCGTTCGAAATTCGAAATGAGAGAGACACTGCGATATTATGACCACGTAAGCGAGATGGAAGTTTCGAGTAGGTGGCGCCGCCGGCGGCTCGTAATAAACACGTAATTCGGACGACAACATTCGTTTTCAATTAATAAACGTTTTGGGCGAAGGTAAATTTCAATGTACTGCCCTTTACCCCTAAATGTGGGGGTTTGGGTAAGCGAGAAATGAAATTATATTTGCCTCCCTTGTATGTTGTAGTTCGAACCGTGTTTAACATGTTAGCGACATTTACAGGAATTGAATTTCCATGTTAGGTTCGATTAATAAAGATGAAATAAATAATTAAAAAATCACGATACTTTTCGAATTCAAGATATAATTATTTATTTAAATATGAAAATAAATCAACGTCGAATTCGTGTATTTCCAGTTATATTTGCGTAAGCCAGGGGCGCTTTCCATTGCCCCCATCTCTATTTGTGTCCAATAAACGAAATTTCGGCCTTTGTACGCACCCAAAATTTGTATCAAAACCGGACCCAAACAATATTTTTATTTCATTTTTTCGTTTTCCCATCAGCGAGCTTCCATTTGCCGTTTTCCGCGGACGAAAATTGATGACGAAATCGAACAAATTGCCTTTGACGGTTGCCAATCTAACGCACTACAAGTAAATTCCTGCATGAAATCGTAATTAACTTTTTAATCGGCTCATATTAAAAATATACACGGATTAAAATTAAAAATGGAATAAAAATGGAATAAATGAAAATGAGTCTTTAATGGTAGGGCGATACAATATTTAGTGAGTGTGGCGTGTTCAAGGGTAGTTTCATTCTTTTCTCCTCTTCTTTTTTCATCATTGTTTTTTTCATTCTTTTCGTTCTAATTCATTCCTCGGACAACAGCGCAACAAGGGTACAATCAAAATAATGGGAGGGTTGTGGTCCTTAAGAATTACGCGTAACGACACTCAAACACGACAAATTTTTATTCTCTTTTATAGTAATAACACATTTTCGTTCTACATATAAGATAAGTGTTTTAGTTTTGTTGTTTGATGCATCTCCTTTCTGTTGTTTTATTAAAAAACGTGCTTTTCGTAATGTAAAAATTAAGTGAGATGTCATTAGGAACCTTTTGGAGACTTTTTGACATCATTGAGTATGCTTTAAAAGTCTTAAAAAGTACCTAGGAAGCATTTAGACACTTTTTGACATCTTCAAAAATCCTCTAGCAATCTTCAAAAATCTCCAGAAAACGTTTAGACACTTTTTGTTGATTATGGAAGTCTTTAAAAATGTCTGAGTAACATAAGAAATCATTAGATAGCTTCTAGAGACTTTTTGACATGATTGGGTATGCTCTAAAAATCTTCAAAAATACCTAGGAAGTATTTAGACACTTTTTGACATCTACAAAAATCCTCTGGAAGTCTTTAAAAATCTTCAGAAAGCATTTATACACTTTTTGATGATTATGGAAGTTTTTGGAAATGTCTGGGTAACTTAACAAATCATTAGATAGCTTCTGGAGACTTTTTGACATCATTAAGTACGCTCTAAAAATCTTCAAAAGTACCTAGGCAGCATTTAGACACTTTTTGACATCTACAAAAATATTCTGGAAATCTTTAAAAATCTCCAGAAAGCGTTTAGACATTAATTGATGAATATGGACGTCTTTAAAAATGTCTGGGTAACATAGGAAATCATTAGAAAACTTCTGGAGACTTTTTGACATCATGGAGTATGCTCTAAAGATCTTCAAAAGTACTTAGGAAGTATTTAGACACTTTTTGACATCTTCAAAAATCCTTAGAAAATCTTTAAAAATCTCCAGAAAACGTTTAGACACTTATTGATGATTATAGAAGTCTTTTAAAGTGTCTGGGTAACACAGGAAATCATTAGAAAGCTTCTGGAGACTTTTTAACTTCTATAACAATCCTCTGAAATTCTTTAAAAATCTTCAGAAAGCGTTTAGACACTTTTTGATGATTATAAAAGTTCTTGGAAATGTCTGGGTAACTTAAGAAATCGTTAGATACCTTCTGGAGACTTTTTGACATCATTGAGTATGCTCTAAAAATCTTCAAAAGTACCTTGGAAGTATTTACGCACTTTTCGATATCTACAAAAATCCTCTGGAAATTTTAAAAAATCTCCAGAAAACGTTTAGACACTTTTTGATGATTATGAAAGTCTTTAAAAATGTCTGGGTAACATAAGAAATCAATAGAAAGCTTCTGCAGACTTTTTGACTTCTATAAAAATTCTCTGGAAGTCTTTAAAAATCTTCAGAAAGCGTTTAGACACTTTTTGATGATTATGGAAGTTTTTGGAAATATCTGGGTAACTTAAGAAATCATTAGATAGCTTCTGGAGACTTTTTGACATTATTTAGTATGCTCTAAAAATCTTCAAAAGTATCTAGGAAGTATTTAGACACTTTTTGACATCTACAAAAATTCACTGGAAATCTTTAAAAATGTCCAGAAAGCGCTTAAACACTTTTTGATAATTATGGAAAACTTAATAAGTGTCTGCGTAACTAGGAAAATCATTAATCGTCGTCTAGGGACTTCTTGACATCTACAAGTGTCCTCTGGTAACCTTTAAAAATGTCCAAAACGCATTTAGACACTTTTTGATAATTATGGAAATTCTTGGAAATGTCTAAGGAACTTGGAAATTCAATAATAAGGTTCTGAACATGTTTTGGCATCATGGAATGTCTTCTAGAAATCTCCAATAGTACACAGAAAGTGTTTAGACAGTTTTTCATAATTATGGAAATTGTTAAAAATGTGGAAATATCTTCGGATATCATTAGAAGCTTCTGGAGATGTTTTAACATCTTTACAAATCTTCTGATAATCTCCAAAAATGTCTAGAAAGCATTTAGACACTTTTTAATGATTATGAAAATGTTTACAAATGTCTGAGTAGTGTAGGAAATCGTTAAGAATCTTTTGAAGATGTTTTGACGTGTTTAAATGTTTTCTGGTAATATCCAAAAATGCTCAGAAAGAATTTAGACATTTTTTGATACTCATGGAAGTCATTAGAAAGCTTCTGGAGATGTTTTGACATCTTTGAAAATCTTCTGATAATCTCCAAAAATGTCTAGAAAGCGTTTAGACACTTTTTAATGATTGTGAAAATCTTTATAAATGTCTGGGTAGTGAAGGAAATCGTTAAGAATCTTTTGAAGATGTTTTGACGTGTTTAAATGTTTTCTGGTAATATCCAAAAGTGCTCAAAAAGAATTTAGACATTTTTTGATAATCATGGAAGTCATTAGAAAGCTTCTGGAGATGTTTTGACATCTTTAAAAATCTTCTGATAATCTCCAAAAATGTGTAGAAAGCGTTTATACACTTTTTAATGACTGTGAAAATCTTTATAAATGTCTGGGTAGTGTAGGAAATCGTTAAGAATCTTTTGAAGATGTTTTGACGTGTTTAAATGTTTTCTGGTAATATCCAAAAGTACCCAGAAAGAGTTTAGACATTTTTTGATAAGCATGGAAGTCATTAGAAAGCTTCCGGAGATGTTTTGACATCTTTAAAAATCTTCTGATAATCTCAAAAAATGTTTAGAAAGCGTTTAGACACTTTTTAATGATTATGAAAATCTTTACAAATGTTTGGGTAGTGTAGGAAATCATTAAGAATCTTTTGAAGATGTTTTGACGTGTTTAAATGTTTTCTGGTAATATCCAAAAGTAATTAGAAAGGGTTTAGAGATGTTTTGACATCTTTAAAAATCTTCTGATTATCTCCAAAAATGTCCAAAACGCGTGTAGACACATTGAGTGTGTTCTAGAATTCTTCAAATATACCTGGAATATGTATAAACACTTTTTGATAGTTATGGAAATTTTTAGGATTATCTGGGTAACTTGGAAAATTAACTTAATTAGGTTCTGAACATTTTTTGACATCATGGAATGTATTTCAGAAATCTCCAAAGGTACACAAAAAGTGTTTAGACTTTTTTTCATAATTATGGAAATCGTTCAAAACGCAGGAATATCTTCGGACATCATTAAAAAGTTTCTAGAGATTTCTTGGAATCTTTAAAAATCTATTAAAAGTGTTCAAAATTGGTCAAAAAGCGTTTAGACACATTTTAATGATCATGGACATGGTTGAAAATATCTGGTTAACTTTGTAAAATCATTAGAAAGCTTCTGGATACTTTTTGACTACATTGAGAGTTGTCTGGGAATCTCCAAAAACATCCAAAATGCATTTAGACATTATTTTAATAATTTAGAAAATAATCCTGAAAAATGTCCAGAAAGTGCTTAAACACTTTTTGATAATTATGGAAAACTTGATAAGTGTCTGCGTAACTAGGGAAATCATT